CCCGGAAAAATCAGCCAAATAACTTCAAAGAAGAAGATTGTGTGCACGCACTTGGTGTGAAATACAGCTATGAGTGGAACGACGTGCAGTGTAGTGGTTGTCATCAGTTTACTTGTAAAAAAGGTGAGTCATACATATTGAATGAAGTTTTTAATGTGTCATTTTCATGAGCAAACACAGCTGACGTTTTACAATGGCTAGTCTGGTGCTAATAATGATCCAGTTATGTCTGGCCTTATCCTGGTTTTGGACACGTAAAGCAACTTGTAACATTCTTTCCCTCCCGCACAAAATGTCAGTCCATCACATATATGTCCTTGCATTTTGCCACGTTTCTTTGCAGGACAGTTCACTGATAACAATTGTTACTTTTTGATGGAGAGGCACTGAGAAAGCTGGGTATCTCGCTTAAGGATACGGTAGACCTTCGCGAGCCAAATTTTGACAACAAATTTTTTTAACGCACTCCAAACAAAGCATTACTACTTCAACTACAGTTTCAAAAAATATATATTTTGAGATATTGAAACGCTCTCAAGTTGTTCACGAAAACATTTTTCGACCTGAATTCTTTTAGCCGCCAAAGTGGGAAAAGTCAATTGTATTGTGACAATACATGACTGCCGTGATGTTTTTCGCGGCAGAACATACGGGGTAGTAGTAGTCGCATAAACATCTTCGCATGTCAGTTTCACGTGTATATCGTAGCAGTTAGTGAAATAATGAGTAGAGTTACACGTAAAAAGGAAAAAAGCCCCTGGGTTAAAGATGGAAAGCACATTTCAAAACCCTTCCATTGATATATGGTTTATGGTGGTTACGCTTTAAATAGCGCGGTAACAATTTTTTTCGCAAAGAACGCCTGCGCAGGTCTACCGTATCCTTGACCATGTCAAAGAACACAATGATTCTAATGTGAGACTCAAATTTGACCCTTTTCGGTTCCGAGGTGCAGCTGTACAGTCAGATGTGTTTGTGTAATAGTTATCGGACTGGACTGGTAACTGGTCTGGTGTGAGACTCAGAATGGACCACTGTGCTGTAGTTTTAGGAACCATCAGTCTATCAGGAAAACTGACTACAGAACTTTCCGAGGTCTTTTAAGGGGGAGTGGGAGGCATGCATATGAGCGATACTCCTAATACGTTCACGTTACGGAAATATGCTCCGTCAGTAATATGGGTAATTAATTGCGAGGGGCCTTACTTAACCGTTTCTGTTTCTTCGGTGTTAAAAGAGTGTTCACTGCTCCATTTTATTCCATTACTAGACTTAGATGAATGCCAACATGATCTGAATTATTGTCACAAGCTGGCCACGTGTACAAATGAACGTGGCTCGTACAAGTGTAAGTGTAAAGCTGGATACGTTGGAGATGGATTACTGACAATAGTGAACTTGCACTGAACATCTTTAAACTTCTTTTATATAAGTAGGTCATTGGTAAATCTTGTCCAAATCCCTGTTGAAGTCTGTTTGATCAAACGAAACCGGTCGGATGAATAAACAAAGTTGACAAGATCTGTTGCTGCATGCCGCTGACTGGTTTTTATTTAAGAAAAGGTCAACTGTTCGCTGAGTCAAAGACGCACAGTACAATGGCTCGAGAAATCGGCTTCTAAAACTCTGGCATGGGGTAAACTATTTAGCCTCATCAATATTTAGTTGGAAATCACTCCAGAACAAAGGACGTGGTATCCTGTCGATTCACCGACCTGATGAGTGCGACTCCAAGAGATATGAAATCGACGAAAGTTAAAATCGACATTTTCAGCAGCCGGCTTACATCATTAGCAAACGAAGTACAAGAATGCAATTAATAAACGCATTCAGTTACGTTAAAAGCCTCGGACAAATTATGCTTCACTAACGAAAATTTATTAGGGCTGAAAATTTTATTTCATTCCCAAGAATGCTGTCCCCTTGGTCTCGCTAGAAAAACACCTGACGCACCATAGAGAAATATTTAATCGAAACAAACATGACATCTGCCCATTTCATATCATTTACCATAACTGATAGTTTGATTATTTTGCGCTACGCTGAGTGGTTGAAAAGTGTTGAATTTCCGGTCATGAACTGTTGAGCAGATCTTTCCCAGGAGCAGTACATCCTCCAGCTTAAACAAAACCATCAAATATTGGTTTAGTTAAATGGAAAAAAACATTGAAGTGGCAATAATGGGCCAAGAAGCAACAACAAATTGTTAAGCTTGTAAAAACTACGGAGAAGAGCTAACTTTTGACTCGGAAACTGATTCAGTTATAAATTTTTAGCTCAAAGATAAATATTGATTTTTGCCATGAATCGACACCAGATGTTATTTACCAGTGGCACGTGTTCGGAATTTTTATCAGTTATCTCAGGATACTGGGTTAAGGTTATCAAGGTGAGGCTAACTGATCAACTGATCTAAACGTTTACAGTTATTTTGGAAACTTTTCAAGACTTATCTCAAAGAGCAGGTAATGAGATCAAAAGTGCAAATTACGAAGATAGCAAATCTTTTCCTTGTCACTTTTTTATATGATCACCTTCGTATTTTCTTGGCGATAAACCCCAATCCCTTTTCAAGTTACTTTATTTTCCCTTTACATTAAAAATCTGTAGGATTTATTCTGAGACTCCTGNCAGCCTTTTAAGTTCACGTTTTCAACGAGCATCTATTTCTGCATAATTGTGAAAAACAAATTACCGCCAGATGAATTATTTGCGAATGTTTTACTGCAATTAGGTCAATGAGTCAAGAAATATGGTTTGAAAATAAACGAGCACCGCCATCGAATAAACGCCGCCCATGACTACAGGCGCTAAATATAAACGCTAAAAATTTAATAAACGGCGTTAATCGGGCAAATGAGATATTTAGAATGATATTGATGATGACTCGTGGCCTAACATGATATCCTTTGCACACGATAATATAGAATAAAATTCTCTAAATTATATTAGCGTCTCTGAAAATTTGAAATACAGATGTGAAGCGATGATTGGTTTAAACGAAGCATAATTTCGTAAAAGCAAGTTATCGATTGCACAATGCATGATTGCTGACGGAGTTCATCATACAAATCCACGGTCAATCGCTTCTGCCTTGAATTCTCATTCTCCTTCGGGACGGATTTTAGCTGAAAAAAATATCATTTGTAGCTCATACTCCATTGTCAATTGATGGTCACTGTGGATTGTTCCAATTGAATAAAATTCGCGAAGCGGTTGTCCATAAGCAGGACAAGGCTTTTGAGTGTAGCTTGAATTCAGTTATTTCATCACAAAGTTAAATAATCTGTCTATGCGCACAGGGAGGTTTCCTTGGACATGGAAGTGTTCTAAAGTGACAGCTTTATTCATATCAGGAACAAACCCAACAAATTATCGCCCTATTTCAATTTTACGCTCTTTCAGCAAGATCTTAGAGAATGTAATCCTCTCAGCTGTACGAATACATTGATTCAAATAATTTACTTTCAAACAAGCAATTTGATTTTCGTTGTAAGCGTTTAACAGCCACTGCATTCTGTGGCTTTGCCGATGAAGTCTTGTTAAACTTGGAAAAAGGGAACATTCGTGTTGCTGTATTTCTGGATCTTACAAAGGCGTTCGATACAGTCGATCATGGGATCTTGATGTCCAAATCGTCTCCCCGGTCTCTGCAGTGGTTTTCTTAGTATTTAAGTAATCGGAGTTGGCAAACCTCTTGTGAAAATAAACTATCCGAAGCCCTTCCCGTTACTTTTGGGGCTCCACAAGGGAGCATCTTGGCACCGTCATTGTTCCTTGTGTATATTAACGAGCTACCTGCTGCTATTAAACACCCCAAGGTATCATTATATGCTGACAAAACCGTTCTTTTACTGCTTCGCAAAAAAACCTCGCGAGCTAGAGAGAAAATTGAATGCAGACTTCAACAACGTAGCATTGTGGCTAAAAGCGAACAAACTTACCTTGAACCTTTCTAAGACCAAATCCCGGTTGATTGGAAGCAATAGAATTTTATTTCATATTTCCTCATCGTCTCTATCTACTTTTGATTGTGAGTTTGACAGCGTAAATAGGTCTAAGTATTGAGGAGTTATGTTGTCCTCAGACTTCATGTAGTCAGATCATGTAGAGTATGTAATTTCTAAAGTTAATCAACGGCTCGTTCCTGAACAGACCACTTTATTCGTCAGCTACTTATGCCCTCGTAACTTTAAAGTGGCTCAACCTTGAACAACGTAGATTTTATCATCGCTATATATCAGTAGGGTTATAAGTGTATTAATGGCCTCATGGATCACTCATTGGAGCCACTAGCCAACAGGGACGTTCATAATTATAACACAAGAAATAGGATCATACTTAGACTACCCCTTGCAACCAAAAAT